TCCTGAGTAGCTGGGATTACAGGCATGCGCCACCATGCCCAGCTGATTTTTTGTATTTTTAGTAGAGACGGGGTTTCACCATGTTGACCAGGATGGTCTCGATCTCTTAACCTCGTGATCCACCTGCCTCGGCCTCCCAAAGTGCTGGGATTACAGGCGTGAGCCACCGTGCCCGGCCCGAATTTTCACTTTTCATGCTGCTATCATTTCTAGTTTTTGTGATCTAGATTGTAATTGGAAAAAAATATTATATCAAAATTTAAAATTTATTAACATTTGATTCATGGCCTAATATATACTCTATCCTAGAGAATATTCCATCTGCAAATGAGAAAATGTATATTCTGTTGCTGTGTGGGTTATTCTGTATATGTCTTTTAGGTCAATTTTGTGTATAATGTTCTTCAAATCCTCTATTTCCTTACTTTTTTTTTTTTTTCTGACTTATCTTTTGTCTGGCTATTTGAAAGGGAGGTTTGAAGTGTCCTAGTACAGTTGTCCCTCAATATATACGGGGGATTGGTTCCAAGAACCCTGGTATATCAAATGCATACAAACTCAAGTCTTGCACTCAGCCTGGTAGAACCAATGTATATGAAAACTTGGCCCTCCATATATGTGGGTTTCACATCCCATGAATATTGTATTTTCGATCTGAGATTGGTTGAAAAAAATTGACACATAAGTGCACCTATGCAGTTCAAATCCATGTGGCTCAGAGTCCACTGTATTATTGGGTTGCTACTTCTCTTTTCAAGTCTGTATTTGCTTCATATAATTAGGAGCACTGATGTTTGGTGCACATATAACTGTTATGTCTTCTTGGTGAAATAACACTTTTGGCAACATATAATGTTCTTCTTGCTCTCTTCTAACAATTTTTCACTTAAAATCTAACTTAGCCCTTAGTAAAGCCACCCTTGCCCTCTTTTTATTACTATTTATATGGAATAACTTTTTTCATTTTTTCAGTTTCAATCTATGCATGTCATTAGATTTAAGCAAATCCCTGTGCAGAACATACACTTGGATACTGTTTTTTCAATGATTTTGCCAATCAACATCTTTTGGTCGAGTAGTTTCATTCATTTACACTAAACCCATTATTTTTAGAAAAGGTTACTTAAAAAGCATTTTGTTATTTTTTAAATGTCTTATTGCCTTTTTGCCCCTAATTTCCTCCATGACTGCCTTCCTTTGAGTCCTTTTTCTGTAGTGATACATTTTGAATCTCTTCTCATTTCCCTTTGTGTGTCTCACTGATAATTTCTTTATTTGAAGAAACATAACATTCTACATGCTACAGTCTAAAGTTATAACCATCTATTTAAAACTGATACTAACTTAACTTCAGTCATATGCAAAAACCCTACTCCTTCACAGCGTCTGCCTCCCTTCATGTTATGTGACTGGTATCATGGATTACAGCTATACATATTGTGTACCCATTCACATAGATTTACAATTATTTTAATGCATTTTCCCGTTACATAGTGTAGAAAATAAAAAGTGGAGTAAAAATTAAAATTACAAAAATAGTGGGTTTTACACCGTTCATGTAATTTTACTTAAGATGTTTATGTTTTCATATGATTTCAAGTTGCTGTCTAGGATCCTTTCACTCCAACTTGATGGCATCCCTTTATAACTTCTCATATAAATTGTCTTCTGGTAATGGATTATCTTGGCTTTTGTTTCTTTACAAAAGTATTAATGTATCTCTCATTTGAAGGACAGTTTTGCTGAATATTGAATTATCAGTAGACAACTATGCGTTTTTTGTTTTTTCAGCAGTTAATACATCATCTGTCCTAAGGTGTTTGCTGAAAATCTGCTGACATCTTATTGAAGATTCTCTGTACATGACAAATCATTTGAACTTGCTGCTGTCAAAATTTTCGTTTGGCTTTTTCCTCCAATAATTTTTAATAAAAAATAAAAATTGGGTCTCCTTGATTGTATCTTATGAGAAATTCATTGAGCTTGGATTTACAGAATAATGTGTTCTTCATATTCGAGTTTTCTGCCTTTATTTCTGTAAAACTCTCTTGACTTTTTCTCTCTCCTCCTAGGATACCTATAATGTATCTATGGTGCCTTGCGTTTTGTGTATTTTTACTCATTTTATTATTATTATTTTTTGCTTCTGAGACATAATTTCCTATGACTTATTTTCATGTTCACTCATTCTGAAGGTACTGTAGCAGCAGTAGGAACAATGGGCCTTAGGGACACTTACCTGTGGCTTCAGGACCTGCTCCAAACCATTCTCGTATATACCACTTCCAAGTGGAATACCAATGTGCACATACAATTTAAAGATATGGAGTATCCAACAATACTCAATTCATAATGGAAGTCTTGGGCTCACATGCTAACTTTGTAGTTCATGGTTAAGTGCTCTGTCATTACTAAGGCCACTAGCAACACCAAAAGCTGCTTCCCAGGAGAACAAGTGGGCCAGGTGTGGTGGCTCACACCTGTAATCCCAGCATTTTAAGAGGCTAAAGTGGGAGGACTACTTGATGTCAGGAGTTCAAGACCAGCCTGGCCAACAATGTGAGAACCCATCTG